GACGTCGTGTCTTGAGTTTGTCCCCAGGGGGCGTACACAGAAGTCCACAGGCCCTTCAGTGTGGAGAGGATCACAGCTGGGCCCTCAAGCATCCCGCTGCATGATACCAGTGTACACAAACAAATGGAATACCTCATAAAATTGGGATAAAAGAGAAAAACTAGGAGAAAAATAGCAAATACAAAATAAATACAAAATGAAATCAGTTTAGCAATGATAGCATACTTTCCAGAGTTAGAATATTTGAAGCTTGAATGTGAAGCATTTTAGTCTTTTGTTTAATATACTGTACATTTATTAAACTCAATAACTGGGTATGAATCAAGACGCCATTGTTCAAAACTCCCTGCCACCAACTTGGCTTGTTATTATTACATTTTTCTTAAAGCAAAGACTTTAAAAGGCACAGTTTTATTCGTGATGAAGTTCCTGGATCCAGATGATATTGGTATAAACCATAATTTTCTTCTACGAGATAGATCTGGACGTTTCATGCTTGTATGCACTTGGGAAATGGATCAGCAGTGAGACTGATCTGAGGTGAGATTAAAGAAGTGGCAGGAGATGTGTGCGTTGCAGAAGGAGAGAAGTGACATATAGTCATGTTATGACGCCCCCATGATCCAGAATCAGTGTTTATAATGCTCTGTCCTCCAAAGAGAGAAAAAGCTCCCACAACAATTGTAAAGCTCTTTTGACTGTGTTAAAGGGGCTATACACATAAAGATCAATTACCTACTTATCACTTACTTACATTTTGGATTAATGCATAACAAATCTGGAACAATTTTCCTGAAAATGTGAGAAAGGCGTCTACTCTGGCAGTTTCAAATCCAGGTTAAACACAGTTCTCTTTAGCTGTGCATACAACTGAAGGATTTTATATGTATCCTTTATTGTATCTTTAATGATTTTAGTGCACATTTTATTGTCTAAGTTTTTGATGTTTCTTGTGGTCTTAATACTTGTTTTATAATTTATGCCTGATGTCATGTGGGTTGTGATGCACTTTGTGTTGCCTTGTGAAGTGGCTCTACAAATAAAAGTTGATTGATAGATTGATACTTACTATATAAAAAAAGTAAACCCCGAACATTACCTCCCCCTTTGTCCGAGTTATTGATCCACTGATGTCACCGAATAGCAAATTAAAACATAGCTTTTATCACACGTAAAAGCATCTTAAATGTCGTCAACTTTGGGACAATCATGACACTTTAAAATAATTGTTGATATCAAATATGAAATCTTGTCCAAAATGTCAGTAAAAAACACTTCAAATGCAAATCTATTCTTTTGAGGTCTGACAACAATCACACAAAGATGCTCCTCTCTGCACCAGCCTTCAAAACATCTCCGAGACGACAGATGATGTGAATTCCCAAAGCAAAGAAAAATTAATGAACGAAAAATGAAATATCCACATCTACTTTATCAGCCCCTGCATTGCCCAGAAGAATGTAGGTTAAACACACATTCTACAAGATTGAAGTGGGATTTGAAGCCAAGACAGAGTAGTCCAATAATTAGCCTGAAACTTCCAGGGGTGTTTACATGAGTCACACTAGTTAAAAGGTAAAAAAAACTTACGGTAAGTCCTCCATAGCCAGATAAGACCAAGATGTTTGTATTAATAGACATGTTAGGCTCAAGATTTCCGAACTTTATCCAAAATGATGAAGTAATTGGAAGTATGAAGCCAAGGGAGCAGGGTTGAATACCAAGTAGATTTTTAAACCGTATTAGCACACAGGCGCCGGGTGTCTAATGATGCCCCTGCAGACCCCAGAGTTTTTTTTTTTTTTTTTTTTACAGTTACCCACCTTTAGTCACCACAAACACTATATTATATTATTCATGACAGCCGGGGCGACACCAAGGGATGAGTATGTACTGTGCCACATGTAGAGAGAGGAGGCTGTTAGAAGTTTAAGTACTATGTCTACAACTGGGAGAAATAAAAAGCAGGTGGTTTGGAATCTGTGGGACTACTCACTAAATTAATATTGTAAAATGTAAAAAGTACAAAACCGCGGCCCCATTGGTATTTACCAGCGATGATGTCATCTTTCTTTACCTTGGACATGCAGCGTTCAGAAATAATTAAAATAAAATAAAAATTAATAATTTAAAAATGTATCTCTACATAAGTGCCGGCTAACCTTTCATCATGAATGAATCAGAAACAGGCACACGCAGATTATGTTAATAAGCCAATTAGCCAGCTCTGACTACTGCCGGTTTAGAAAAAAAAAGTCGACAGCTCCAACAAAAGCCTCAGTCTGCTATTGTCTCCGATGATTTATAATTCGGAGGTGCGGATCTGCCCCTGTAATCACTGGGATATGCACAAGCACATGCAGGAATGAAAGAGACGACACAACACAGATGAAGTAGTGTAACAAGCCCAGTTATAATTACAGTTAAGAAAAAAGTTATACACTCTTGGCTACAGCAACAAATCCTAGGGGAAGAATTTAGACATTACAGGCAGTAGGCCATTAATTATGAGGAACATATACTGTATGAGCTAAGTGTTGTTGCAAACACACAAATCAACGCCGTGGGATAATTTTCACATTTACCCTGATGAACACACTTCAGCAGCCACTTCCGGTATTCTCTGATTGGTTCTTCAAACACCACCCATGTGGCAGAGATCCAGACCCGCTTGTATTTGAAAATTATCTTAATTATTGTAAAACTATGTGGTTCCTGAGCTTCCACTGGTTGCAACAGAACACTTTGGTTGTTGTCATAGTGGTCCCCAACCTTGTGAGGATTTATGATAGAATATTTTTAAGTAAGAAAGTAAGTAAGTTAGTAAGTAAGTAGTAAGGGCAGCTCGGTGCACTTGTGCCTCACCCAATAAGGTCCTGGGTTGCCGCATAGGTTTCCACCGGCTGCTCTGGTTTCCCTATACAGGTACCACTAAAAACATGTAAAATTGTTCTGTCATGCGCCTCCTGTTCAGTGACCCTGCTCCCATCTCTGTGTGGAGTCAGAGACAAATACCCTCAACAATTGTAAAGCTCTTTGTGACTCTGGTCTGCTATATAAATACAGATTACTTACCATTTACTAGAATATTCTTAAGCCTAATTTTTGTATTGGCCATGTAACTTTTTGCTCATAGTTTCACTCCTATGTGAAGAAGCCTAAATTGAACTAAAAAAGAAGATGGTTCAATAATGTACAACCACCTGATGCATGATTATGTACTTTAGTTATGACGAACCAAAAAAGGCACAGAAGGTTTATAGGTTTGTCAACATAAAACATCGACCTTGACAAAAATATAAAAAACATGTGGCTTTGTCTTACACAACCACAACATTGTCTCTCACAACAACCCATTCCCGAACAAGTGACTGAGAGGAGGGAGACTGAATGCACTGGGCCAGACAGGTAATCACATTTGAAGAAATGAAATGACACAAGTGGTTTGTCTCTGCATTAAGGACAGGCTCCTTCACCAGGCACAGCCGTAAATATACACTATATCTCAAAGTTGATGTTACCGCAAACCCAAATTGAAAGTGGATCTCTCATGCTTGGAACCCCTCCATCCGTTCTACTGACGTGTGTCATGATCAGACTCATGCTGCATCAAGGGAAATCACTTCTATTTAGTGGATGCTTGGTTAACTTTTTTGCTCCTTTAAATATAAGTCATATCATTTGCTTATACTTTATTCTAATGCAAGACTTGCCTGAAACTTTAGACACACTTAAAATTAAAATTGGGCCTAAAATTGCCCATAAACATCTCCATCTCCCTGTCTGCAATTACCATGATGCTCACCATTGTTGCCAGGCTATAAATGACAATTACCCCCGACAAACCAAATTCCTATTATAACCTATGTGCATATCCATTGCAGTTGCTTAGGAACAGTGCCTCCCCCCTCCTGTCAAGCTAATGCTCTGGCCCCAATGACATTTTAGGGCTGCTTGTGTTGTAAAAACCCCCTATGGTTTCATAATAATAATCAGAAAAAAACCTACCTCTGCTCTTTGTTTGCGCTTACAATTCCTGACATTTTCCCACTATCTGCTTGTCCTCTGGGTTCCATAATTACACCAGACATTAATAAACATCACCATGATTAGGATCTGAGTAGACACGGTCCGATAGTGCATTTCCATATTGGGATGCAGCGGAGTTGTTCTCTTGTTGGCATTATTTGATTATAATTGAAATTCTGTGTATTACCGCACCGGCGGATCGCATATTAGAAGTTTTCTCCCTTTTATGGACTTTTGAGAAAGTAAATTCATACAGACTGCAAAGGACAGCTCTTTAGAAGCGCGTGCATAAACGGCTGTCACAGATGTTAAAGCTGGGGTATCTAACTTTCAAACCACAAGTAATGTATTTATGCAATGAAATCAATGTGTGTTGTGAGTCACTCTTTAAGTTTGGTTCTGTCCCGAGTTGTATACATGCTAATAGTTATATATGTATTCTATACTATTTGTATACTATACTGTATACTGTATACGTATATGGGCGGACTGTATACTGTATACCTACGGGGATCAATAAAGTGCACCTTTACCTGTATACTAGATTTGGCCACCGACATATCGTTGGATTCGGTTTTTCTGACAGAAAAACTCAAAAAGAGCCAACCCTCAATTAGCCCAAAAAGTTTTAAAAAATGGCTTTAGAGAGCACTTTCTAAGCATGCATAAGATAACATATTTCTCTTTCTCTTTGAACAAACATGCGTTATTTGTGGATAAAGTTAGGTACCCAAGCTTTAAATGTAAGATAAAATGACACTCAGAAGCAATGTGCAAATGATGGTAAGTGAAAGCACCTGTTATTTTGTTTAGTGGATGTGGTCAGATCGCTTGTAAGTGATCTCTGGTGCCATTTGTGATGATGATGAGTGGGGAATGTGTACTCACCAAATGCTGCGGGGAGTTTGTCTGGAGGTCACCTTTCAGCACAGAGCCGCGTGGAGTCCATGCAGTCTGCTGGGTCTGAGCATTTATCCGGCCTCGGCTGAACCATGGTCACTGTGACGACAACACAAAACAACAGATCAGCGGGAATAAAAGGAGTTAAAAAGGCTAAATTAAGAATGAAAAGGCACTGAATAAAATTATCAAATATAAGGTCGTTGATGCTTGAATAAAAGGGCATTCCTCTTGAATTGTGTTTATTTACTTTTCTGTTGACTGTAATAACACCAGATGACAATGGGACAAGCAGGTTTAGTCTTATTTGAAGTGAGGTTGCAATTTGTTTCTCATTCAAAAGAAGAATTATCTTGTCGCAATTAGTACAAGATTTTTACTTGACCTACTGGTAAATCTTGTTGTAAAATGCAATCTATCTTTTTTCAATTCTGTTTTTGATTTGAGCTGTTTTTTTCTTTTACAATGTTTCCACGGCTCCACCTTTTGTGCACTTAACACTAGGACCGCCGTGCTCTAAACATACCTTGCACCGCCCCCTGCGGTCAGTTGACCGCTATGTATTTTGCGCTGATACAGCCTTTTGCCAAATTGATTGTTCACTAAACCAGAACTTGATGTTGCAAAGGAATCGTGATCATAATGAAACTGTGTAAATTATTTGTCTAAATATGCTAAGTAATTGTAATTCTAGCCGAAATAAAAGACTAAGACGACACATTGTGCGTGTACTGATCCATCAAAATTACGATGACTTTTCAGGCTAGATTTATTTTGTAACTTTGCAAACACCTAAAAGGTTGGTCACTATATGTTATATTTGACTCAGTAACAATATGTAAATTCAAACAATATAAATTATAGTTTAGAAAAGCACGGGACCATAACGTCTTCGCGCTGCTATATGCGTCTACTTCTTACGTCATCTCCAGACTGTTTTCTCTTTAGAGGCCGAAATCACCGTGGGAAATATTATCTAGATAATAATAATAGTATTCGTATTGACACAAGATCATCAGCGAGGCTACCATCGCCAATGTAAAATCTTCAATTTTACACGGGACACGTTAGAAAGACAAATATATGTATATATATATTTGTATTTATTTGAGACAAGCAGTGCTCTTTATGCTCAGAACAAAATTATAATCATTGCCTTGCAATGTGCGCTGTGCAGAATAACACAGTGTTATCTGGATAAAATAAGAATATGAATAAGAATATATGAGGGCCGCTTCTGCCCCACAGTCCCTCTCCTCCTGCAGTGTCCGCGGGTGACGAGCACTCTGATCTGCACTCTGCCTTGATAGTTCATCTAATTGTTCTATTTTATTGCGATATTGTATTCTGCTGTATTGCCTTCTTGTATGTATAAATATAATAATGTAATTGATGATGAATGAAAAGGCAGAATGGAGCGACAGCGCGCACACAGACACCTGCGTATGGCTGGCATTACGCACGCTCATGTGCGTTATTGCTTCTGGACTTACAACACTGCTGTCCGTGCTGTGAATGCACTATGGGATTACGTTCAGATTTAGAATATTATAGGTGTTCTCCCCGCTGTCACTTTCTACCTCAAAATGTGACATCTCTCACCTCCGTCAGACTGTTCTCATTCAATGTCTTGAAGCACTGTCAGGGCTTCATACCGTGTACTTGCAGCCCCATTCATTTTGTACTCCTCTCTCTCCCAAATAATAATAAAAAAGTCCCTTTATAGTCTAATGACAACATATTGATACATTTTTATAAGGCGCAAAAAACCCCCGGGAAAGGTTACTATGACAACAGTCGCCCCTGCGCCATGTATCTCCATGGGGCAGCATAAAGGGCTGTGGTTTAGAAAAGTTAAAAATGCGTGTAAATCTTGTTTTCTTTACTTTTTCCAAAACCAAAACACACCAAAATATAAACAACAAGTACCTAGTAAAAGTCATAAAATTTCAACTTCTGGCGTTTTGTTTTGAATACACTAATTAGCATAATAAAGTGAGTGACGGTCAGTTGACCGCTAGGGGCGCTCCTAGTGTTAAATATCATTTTTTTTGTTTTTGACTTTTGTGTCATAGTGTCCTGTGCCACTGCAAGAATGAAAAGCCACTACAAGCTTTTAGTAGTAGCTGAACTTTATTTTTTTTTTCAGACAACAAAATCTGTGATCAAAACAATAAACTTCCAACACCCCTGTTTACGAATGTGAATGAGGGGAGTGAGTTATGTGAGAAGGTGAGCCTCTGTTCCCCACTGAGAAAAGTTGTCAAAGGGAAGAATGGCGTGTCTTCATGTCTAGGGAAGTCTTCATGCCTTATATAGTCCTGGTCTAGAACAAGCTGCAGCAGCAAACTGGATCAGGCCAAGGGCTACGGAAGCAGACCTTGTGAGAGCTCATTAGAGAAGTCTTTTACTCTGTGGAGAGGAGTATGAATGCATTATACAAAATGGGCTATTAAAAATAATCAAAAGTAAAGGAGCGATTTTCAGAATAACAAAAGTCACTGTAAAAACCAATGATGGAGGGTTTTATGGAAAAAGTGAGATAATGAGGGAATTCAGATACAGCAGGTCCATCCCCCTACTATATCTATACAGTAGGCTTTGACAAATGAATATATCCCAAAGGCCATTCCAAACCATGTTTTACTTCTAATGGCAACTAGTGTGACATTTACGATCCACAACAACATTCAGATCAGCTACATTTCTCATCATTGACATTTATCTGTCTTCTACGGCTGTGCTTGAAAATCAAAATATATTGGGCACGGTTCAAAATGAATAAAAGTTTCCCTGGCTGTGAGAGGTTTCCAAACAGGAAGGGACATGTCTTTTTAATACCAATGACCTCCGAGCTCTATGTTTCAGCTGAGTCTGCACGGCCTCCACAAATGGGAACCCCAATCAAACAATTACCATTTTCTGCTTTCCTCTTGAAATCTGTGGCGAGGAATATGAAGAGGCTCCATTTGCATTGATGAGAGGGTCTTTCTCAGATAAAATTCAGAATATTCCAACCGAGAGTATAATACCGTAACTCAATCTGCATCACCAACGCTCCTGTGAAATTATTGATAAGGGTTTGCCTGAGCATCAGTTTTTATATCTCGAAATGTTAAAAAACACCAACTAATATTCAAAATATGAGCGTGATGTACTGTAAGAATAAGGTGCACAACAGAGATATGAGCAAATGAAAGGTGAGATTAAAGCTGGGGTATCTAATACTTTTCTTCGTAATTGATGTTTTTTGTCCCAACATAAAGTCTTATAAAAGCAAAATGTTGGGATTTGTTTGTTTAACCACAACATGCAGTCATCATCTTAACTATTACTAGTACAACTAACAATTTGAATGTATAGACTTAGAGATGATTGGCTGAGGCAGGGTGGCTGCTATTTTCGGAAAAAGCTAAAAATGTGAAAGATGCACAAAAAACAAATCTACGCATGTAAAAACTAATGTTAGAACCAAACTGCTTTAGGAACTACTTACTGGTTGATAAGAAAATTTGGTACCCCAGCTTGGATGAATTACAATATGACATTGGATTTGCAGGACTAAGTTTCCTTCACTTCACCACTTTCTCATTTTAATAGGCATCCTTGTCAACTCTTAAAGCGCTATGCAATCATCCATGTAACCCACTTTGCAAAGTTTCTTCCTCCCTGTGCAGCCTGTTTTCTTGTTTATGCATAAATGTGCTAAAAGCAATGATCCAATCTGCTGTTTATGGACACATGACTTGTCTATAAACTTAATGGTGCCAGGGAAAGCTATCACGGGGATATTTACACACAGCGGAGAAGGCATAGGGGAGTCTTACCACCCCACAGCGCAGTACGAGATACAATCTACGGCTGATGTGCCGGTTACACTCAAGCTTGATAGGTTAGATTATAAAGATCAGACATAAACCACTACAGAAATCTCTTCTCTCGCCGTCCCTCTTCTCCATTTACCCGCGCTCCTTAGGGCTGTCACATAAATCGCCTGCAGAATTTCCGCCGCCTATTGGCCGAGAATGCGTTGATATCGTCATCAGTCTTCCCTTTGAAGGCCATGTAAGTGAGAACAACGATAAAACAGATGGGATTAATGCGTTTGGCGGATTTATGAAAGCAGCTTGAATTGTGTTGTTTAAGAAAATATGAGCTGTGTGTGTATCAGGTGAAAGGGCAGATTCTCTTTTTTTCTACAAGATTCCAATCCTAAACGCTGGCAAATAGCTCCTCGGCTCTGAACCACCTGCTTGTAAGGGCTTCCCAAGAGCCTCTTCAAGCCTTGAGGAATTGTCTCCCAGATGGCTTTTTTCCTCTGATGAAGCGATTGCGAGCTTGTATTGTCTCCAGCTGTGATGCGACAAATGCGTAGGAGAGAGTGGGGAAGAGGACAAAGATAGGTGTGCAGTGAGACCCCAAAAGGACATTATGTGAGTGTGTGTGTGAGTGTGTGTGTTGTAGTGGCCAGGTTTGTCTTTGAGATGTGAGCCAGCTTCATCCTCTTATAGCTGACATAAACGCAGGCGTTCACTTGGATGCGTTCCATCTGCGTTTGGCGATAAGGGCCTGGACACTTCTCGGCCAGTGGACAAACGCCATTGTGTGCGGTTATTAAGGCACATTAAGATCACATCATTTACCTCCATGACCTTTCAGAAACCTGAGGAGGCGGGAATTTAAAAAGTCCACCTTCAGGTTCTAAATCTAGGTTCAAAATAATTCTGTGCCACACAATGAAAAGAACCCAAAACACACCAAAATTAAAAGTCAGCATAAACATAAAAAAGGAACCAAACGGGGGACAAAACTAGACAAGACGCGGAAATGACAGGAGATACAGTTAACAAATGACATAAATAATTATCAATGACAGACGGATCAGGATTTATCATTGTAATGCCTTGTAATGCAATACTGCAATTTCAGAATGTAAGTAATCTTTATTTGTTTAGTGGCTTTCACAGACCAGTGTCACGTGATGAAATGATAGAGGACCCAAAATGCAGGAATGCAAAAAATAATGATTTAATAAAATAAATGTCCAGGTGAAAACAAACTCAAAATCCAAAAGGAACAAGGAACACAAAACCAGGAAC